ACGCCAGATTGACCCCCACTGAGAAATACATCTTCGACTCCATTCTGTCAGCGTTCGGGAAGGATGTCATAAAAAATATTTATCTGATGATCACATTTGCAGACAGCAAGAGTCCACCTGTTCTTGAGGCTGTCAAGGAAGCCAACATACCCTTCGTGGAATCCTTTTGTTTCAATAATTCGGCCTTGTTTACGTCCAACGAAGTGAAGGACTCCCGAGATCTTCGATTCGATACTATGTTTTGGAAACTGGGAGCGAAGAGTTTCTCTAACTTCTTTGACAGATTCCGGGAATCTAAGCCTGTCAGTCTCCAGCTTAGCAACCAAGTTTTGAAGGAAAGACATGCTCTTGAAGCGACCATCCAAGCGATCCAGACTCGAATTCAATATGGTCAGTATATTATCATTTTATGACTTTCTTGTGGCCCAGATTCTCGAAAGGATACTGATTCTCGGCAATTTCTGAGAAGTCTGTGGTTCAGGCTGAATCACCACGCATAGATTGCTTCACCGGAACGCTTATTATGCTCGTCATCAGAACAGTCCAAGAATGCATTATCATTTCTAATATCGTAATTCAACTATTAGATTAACATCTCAAGGTGAAACAATTACCTTTTATGTTACTATAAACATATGTCCTCATACCTATGATAATGCCTTCTTAACGAAAGGATTACTAGTAACGTTGAAACCGAAATGAGAGTCAACTAATTCCAACATTTCGTTTAAAAAATAGTTTATGTATGTTCATGGAGTTCCCGATCTGAAATGTAAAAAAAATTACGCCTGAGAAGGTTCCCTGGAGGCAACTGCCGAATGGGAACCAGGTATATATGATGGGTACTCCATTCGATTTTAAGCTTAACGAAAATGACGTGATCTTCCTATCAACTATTGATATCATGAAGCAAATATGTTTCGAATTTTGGAAGTGCAGGCAATTTAGGCACGTAGGTTCTTCCTGGGGTATTGCAAGGATTTTGATGAAAATTGTCGAAACAGAAAACAAATTTAATTGCAGTCAATAAGCAATCCTAAGGGCCACAAGTTACTGCATATTTATCAAGAGTCGGCACTCACTTTTATTAAACTTTAGGGACAGTTTATACTTAAAACTGCAACATCTAAACCTTACGCAATGGACCGAAGGTTCCAAAAAGATGTCATTTCACGCCTCACAATCTTTTACTCGCGACACTTTCCTTTGCTTGAGGAACTTTCACTTATTTTCCTGTTTTAGAACTTGTACAATTGAATACCATCGGATGGGAAACAGCCATATTGGAGCAGAGAGAAGCAGAGATAAATGCCAATAAAAGTTTTGCCTACGAAGCACAAGTGACGAAGCAACGGAGGGTGGAACTGCGGGACGGTGAGTGCGCCATCAATTGCAAAATATGCAATTTCACATGTCACTATCCGTGCAGGATACCAAACGATCACAGGAAATCAGAGTGCGACATTGTGGGCCGAAATGCAGGACATTGTACGGTATGTCCATCCAAGTGTCACTTCACGGAGCACGTCAAAAGTCGACATCGATTCGAGGCATGCATTGTGACGGAGAGCAGAACATTGGAATATTTGAAACATTCCTATGGGAAAGCCGTTGGCGGAAAATTGACCGCAGAGATCTTGTGGAAGGCCTCCCGACGTCAGTACGCAGAAATGCAGTCTCAAGTCTTAGATCTTGTTAGGGATGCACATCGAAAACTCTGCATTTTAGATGAAATTGCCTTAAGGCCGAATCCTTTGTCCATTATCGACTATGTGGACCTATTGATCACGTCGGAGAACTTCCAAATGAAGCCTGGCTTCATGAATAGGGTCAGAATCCTCAATGAAATCCGTGAGAGCCTGGGCAAGGAGGGAGGCGGAGACGAGAGAATCTATCACCAGGGAACGAGAGAAAAAGGAACCAATTCAACACATTTCTCAATGTGCAAGCGTTTAGGAATGAGTCAGAACCACCAAACGGAAGACGAAATCCCTAACCGAAATCCGAATGCTATCTACATTAATAGAGCTCAGGTAAGTATTCGCACGTATCCTCCGGTTCAGGACATATATGTCGTAGGGTTTTGAGGAATTCAGGGGGATTTTGAATCTCTCTAGGGTGAGAGAATTTCGCTAAACCCGCGGGTTTAGTGAAATCCTCTCAAAGTCATGTCAATGTCACTCCACCTGAGGGAGATTCCATATCTCCCTAGCTCGAAAATTGGCCTTCGCCTTTCTGGTCCCGTCGAGGGCAATTCTCCTTTCGTTTGCGTTGACGAATAATTTAAGACTGAATAATGTTGTGCTAGTTATCAGTAACAATTCAGCACCTGCTTCTGCTTGCCACAAACGAAGCAAGAATTGTTAGGTTAAGTTGACGTTCACGAACTGCTCTTCATCCCAAGAACAGACAGAAGTAATACGTCTCCCCGGAACCTGCGGGCGAGAGCGGTAAGACAAGAAGGCGGCAATATTTTGGGGGACTCCCACTGGTTTAATTGACTCGCCCTTCCTGCCAGAATAGCTAGTAAAGGCAACTGGCCGCACTTTCCGGGCGGAGTACCTAAACGTGATTGCCTCTTCCAGAAAGAGCCCTCCACTGCACTGCGTCTCCTGCCACGAGTCATAGAAGTAATGAAATCCTTTCTTGTTGGCAGGGACTTGAAGAAGAGGCCGTGAAGGTCTCTATTTACGGTACGCTAGGGTTTTTTTATATTTCCCTCTCATCCAGTCCAACCTGATTCATTTTCATTTTCCTATCGACGCAATAATGGTCTGAGACCATTCTACATACAAATGTACGAAAGACGTGCCCCTACATCTTAAGAACCCAGCAAAATATGATAAAAACCGTTTTCCACTGTTTTTTTCTTCAAACGTCTACAAAGAAAATGGCTTCTGTACCGTTAGATTCATGAGCAAGATGCTTAACTTTTATAAGAAAACATTCTCTACTCTCTCCATTTAATCACGCCAAAACGTTTTCAAGTAAATGCACGACCATAGAATACCAGACTATTTTCTCAGCGAGCTCGTCACAAATTTCCCGAGGAAAATAAGCCGCGGAAGGCACAGCTATCGATAATAAACATCCATGCAAAAAATATTTTTCCAAGTAAGGTTGTGTAGCTTGAATTCTGACGTGAAGGGACATCATTTGATATGATAAAATTTTCGACACAATTATGAAATGGCGATCGCGCCGCTGTCTCCTCAACGTGAACGGTGCTGAAAACATCTTACGTTTAACTACCTCTAACGGTACGTGCACACAATGTAAATTCTCGCAGAAGCAAACTGATGCCATCTTGAATATATGGCGTTTCATTTAAAGGGGGAGGCATCGTAGTTATTCCTTTACGAAATGGGTAAGAAACTTGATAAGAAAACCTTAGACTTGTCTGGATCATCACAACACGGAATGAAATACACACGCAGCTTATACTGCTATTACTGCATCAATACAAAATGTATTTATACTTTCTGGAATGTATTTCTTGAGATTTGTATATGATTGGGGAAACAATTATGATGAATATCAAACATGACATAACATGACATGACGCGATTCTCTATTGGATAATGTTTTCTTGCAAAATGCCTCTTATATGTGACACCGATCGATTGTAATGAGCACAGTTTCTCACTGTTTTAAGATTCATTGAAGGATTCGAGCCTCATGTCATGTTTTTTGGAGTTATTTTCCTGTGAAAATGTGTTAATGTCTGCCATATGAGCAGTAATTGGAAGACAACCATGGATTCCCAACTGCCTAGTTAACGAGACTTCGGTGGAATCTGCTTGTCGTCAATGTCGATTGATTGTGATCGAAGAATGTAGGCCCACTTTTCACTTATGCAACCCGAAGCAGTCGGACTTTGCTCGTGTTATGTTCACAGGATGTACGAATGCACAATTGAATGGATCTGTTGAGCTGCCAGTAGTTTATGTAAAAAATGGGGAAAATGTTTACATGTAACTTTTTTTCAAACGTTGGCATTTAATTGTACACCTTCAGCAAAACGGGAATTTGATTGGAACTTGATCGTTATCTGTTCCAAGTTTGTTGAGTTCCAAAACTGAATAATGTAGAATGAGTCCTAAATGTGATGCCCGTACATGTGGAAGCCTGTGGAAGACTTGCTCTTGTCTTAACCTAAGATTTGGAAGCCGAAGGGAGGCAAAGAGGTCGTTAGCAGGACAAGTGAGTCATCGACTGCTTTTTGTGGATTATGAGTATAGTTACGCAATGGTATAATTGATCCAGCCCTTGGAAGTTGCACCAACTAAACCATTGAGGAAAGTATCATTTTGATGAAGAGGGTGCAACTCTTCCAAATAAGAAAACTTTTCAGCCCCTTCGTTGTGTTTATCTTGCAGAAGCCATTTACATTCTTGAAGAAAGGCAGATCTTTTAATTCCTGCAATTTTTCTATGCGTAGGAAAATTAATTATGGACCTAACTCTACATGAGGGCAATGACTCTCCATGTGGGGCATGAGTTTCCTGGCCTTCCTAGGCATTTCATATTTGAAAACTTCCAACGTGCAGGCAAAAAAAGGCTTTCATTGATTTGTTTATTAATTATGATGAATTTTGCCAATACGGTGACAATGTGAATTCGAAATTTGTTGGCCATGGGCTAACCTGTTGACCTTGTTAATTGCTAACAAATGAATGCTCTCCTGTGCACCTTCCACAGTCACTCAATTCTCTTGAACCCTTGGTCCTCTGTCATTAACTTTCTCTCTGATGATCGATGTTTAATTTTGTGTGTGAAAACAGGACACAGAGGTGAATCGCAGCGGCACACATCAAGAGGGAAAAATTAGCACTGTAGGTAAACATTTACTTAGGTTCAGTCCTCATTCACCACTGGGTGGTTCCTTCCGACCCCTTATGTGTACGTCGGATGACAACCTGAAGCAGGTGAAAAGCTTGAACATGCCAAAAAAGAATGCATTCCTGCTTTGCGACTAATATGAGTCATGTGGCTTTTATTACTGGATAATAGGAACGTGAGGAGCTTCCAAAATCTCCAAAGGGAGAGCAATTGGTACGTGATTTACCAAACTCAGGCACATCCCACAACAAACAGGATTTTGCAAAATGCACGAGCAATTCCGGGAAGCAGGCATCACTGGATAGGAGGATTGAAGTCCTGCTTACTGGAACGTCTGCAAAAAGTAAGTGCCTCCTCAACGTCGTTTTTCGGGGGTTGCCGTCACAGAAACTGTTGATAATGTAATCTAATATTGATAGAGACCATTGTCTGATACGCTGCAATATGAAATTTTTTACACATGATTACGTGACTATATTTTCCTATCTGTTTAATGTTCCCAATTCATTGCAAATGATCAATACGGCCAAAACGTCATGTTCCTTTAAAACGTTAGTACCATTTCCACTGATAGGGTACGCACGATCTTTCATTCTAGTTCATATGTGAGGGGCATCGGTAATATTATTACCCTTTTTTATTGGGAGAGAAATTCATCTGGAAATTTAGATTTTACTTTGCTCTTAGAATTAGAAAAGCGATTTCAGCGATGAAAAGTGAAACTCTCGCTTTTGTACCATGGACAGAGTTATGTAAGAGGAAGTGGTACGAACTGAATAAATTGAAATGATTGCTTCTCATTGTTATTCACTTTTATCCCACAAAGCATATCCCTCTCAGGGGATTAGTTTCTCTCTTGAATGCAGGTTAATTATTGCCTCCAAAGACAAAGGAGAAAAGTAGTTCACAGAGTCTGGTCGCCATAAAGACGTTGAGCCCATAACGGACACACCCTGTGGAATAATCTCGATGAAGTTCCTTGAAGCCGAAAACCTGAGGAACTTCAATCTCCTTTTCTAGTGAGGCAAACTATTGCAAGTGGACGATATATGATACAATGTATTTTGACTCTTCTACGAATAGGTATTGGGGATTTCTTGATTGGCCTCTTCAACGTCATCTTGGATGTGACCAGTGGGGATCTCCATCGCTGGACCCTTGAGAAAGTGCTTCAACCAGATAATGACATCCTCATTCTCGAAAACAATCTCGATTATGGAAACATGTTATTGAAGATCATTTTCATCCCACCTAATAAATGGGGCAATAATTTATGGAGGGCTTCATCCTCCTGTGAGCGCCTTCGTGCTGTGTGGATCTCTATGCCTGCCACCCAGGAAGCACTGCCAACTGAATTAGTGCATTTTTGTGACCAAGTGTTAAAATATGCGAAGGGTGTGCCAGTGCACGCTATGATCACGAAAAATGATGACTCGATCCCTCAGTCCATCAATGAACTTAGCAATAAGTGCGAGGGTTTCGGAATAGAGTTCAGCAAAATTCATCCATTTAATTATAATGCCCTTCACGAATTTATGTTTTCTGATTCCAAAATCATGCAATCGAAACAGGTACTTGCATTAAAAATGAGGAAAATAAATGAAAGCAATTATCGTCACCTTCTCCAAATGCTGAAGCACTGATGCATTGAGTTCTTCACTATGCATTTGCAATAGAAAAAAAGTCGGACATATTTCAATGTCATGTACAAGGTGTAAAATGACATATTCCCATGCACCCCAGGAAAACAAGCAAAAACTGGCTGGGAAATATTATAGTATTCTCTATTAACTTGTGAATCTGTCATACTTCCTTTGAAATTTGACATTTCAAAGTGCTCATACCTTTTCTTTGTAGAGTTCTCCAGGCCAACTGTCTACAAATTCACCATGTACATTGGCACAGCCTGTAACCCGTTGATTCCGACGCTTCAGCTTCATTTGTATCCTCATGATGAAATAAACTTCAATCTATTGAATCTTTGATTGGCATTTCCAGGAGTACTACCCACTGTTCTTAGTTACTTTCTGTTACCANTCTATTGAATCTTTGATTGGCATTTCCAGGAGTACTACCCACTGTTCTTAGTTACTTTCTGTTACCATCCAAGGACGTCATTTTGTGAACTAGACACAAGTAAAATCAAGAGAACAAGCATTAATATAATGGCCCCTTGTAACCCAATAATCCAGAAGTCATCAAGAGGCCCCAAATGCAAGTTTCGTTTTCACTCTCCATGTCAATTTTGCTAATGTTTGCTTTCTCAGTCCCTAAGGCCTCGTAGACACCAGAATGTTTCCTATGCAATTTTTCTTTACAAGTCGACTTGCAAAGAAAACTTTCATGGTGAGGACTTATTTTAAGGTTTTATATTCCCTATTTTCAATGCTAAGGTATATTTCTTCGGAAGTTTTATTTTAAAAATCTTTCAAGGTAATCTCCACAATTTTATTATAAGTAGACTTGCAAAAAAACATTTTGTGACGAGGATGATTTTGAAAGCTTAACATCCAATATGTTCAAAGCTCTTGGAGACTTATTCAAAAGTCTTCCTTAAAAAAAGGATTTTGCCTCATTCTTTCGTTGTCCATGGAAGCAAACTTTCCAGCATGAACAAGGCCTTAGGTGAGAGTTAATTTCAGGTAGCATGTGATTTGAATATTCAAATATCGACCGTATCGGATATAAAGAAGTAATGCGATTAACCTAAAGAGGATGCTAAGGACACGGAACCCACGCTTTCAAGATGCATGCATCGATGCAAAATAAATTATTAAAATAAATAAATAAATAATGTTAATGGGCCTCATTTAAGGAACAGAGTCCTCGTTTTCCAACTCCCATGAAAAAAAAGTATTTTTTTTTTCACGTTAAAGGTGCGGTTTTCTTCTCCAGGAAAAGAAGAAAAAAAGAATGATCACTTTGGCAGGTTCTCCATAATCCAGATGAGTCATTAACCCGGACAAATAGTCGAAAATTAGTGGGAGTTGACTGTAACTATATGAAAAAGAAGCACAAGATTTTGCTTCCATGCACGTTACCTATGCCCACATAATGGTATCATGTACTTCATAGGCCCAAAATATGTGTTAACGATGGAAATACTATTATCTTTTATGGCAAAAGACACCTCCATGGAGAAGAAATAGTTTTTTTTTTAATGCTCACGAAGCTTATTGGGGAGGTTCTTTGATAAGTTCTCCCTCAATCATTCCCCTTCACTCTTCTCTTGTGGAAAATATGTTCATTCGGGTAAACACCAGATGGCAAGGTCCCATCTCTTATCATTTCAGAGCCCTTATTTCATTTATATATCTAGAACTTATGCATCGATTACACCGAGCCCATGGACAATTGAAATATCCTAGTCGATGTCAATTCAGGAAGCAGGAATTCAGGAATCCGTGAAGTAGGAATAAGTAGTAGGGAAATGTTATCTCCCATCGAAAATTTGCGTTTATCGCGAAAATAAGGAAAACAGATTATAAAGTTTTGTTTCATCAGAATGGCAAATTCTCGGATGTTTAGTATCGGTGGAAACAATATAAACGCTCTACATTGAGCAATTTGGATGATAGACCGCTAACAGACGAAGACACATACCACGAAGAGGAATTTTCTTTGGCATTCAATTTTTATTTCGTAGGTGTTATATATCAAACCTTTGTTCGGTAAGCCTCCGACTTACCTCTCTCCAGCTTGAACAAGGGATGTTCTGAAGCACTAATACTTTGTGGTACTTCTCTGTCTTGAAAAGTTCAATACTTTTAATTGCACCATAATAGCATAATCTATATATCTATATGTATAATATGCTTGGGCCTCCGTGTGTATGTCCGCAAGTGCATGTGCGCATGTGCGGCGCCTTCATGCCTGCCTCCGGGCGTACGTCTCCCTCTCTTCGGCTCGCACTTCTTTTCTGGCCGTTGCGACAGTCGGATCTATTTTCGATAACATAATAGCCCCGGGGGGAGGGGGTCTGTGGGGGGGAAGAGTTCAGATGGCATAAGAGAAGGAAAATAACCATGGAACGAGCGGAAATCGAAACGAGAATCTACTGCTTGTCGGTCGAGCATGCTTCCATTACACTACCGGAACCAAGGCATTTAAATTACATCACTCCATGGCATCCCTAACACTAACACGGAAGAGAAAGATATTCTACGCATATTTCTCTTAATACACGTGTAGTCCCCTTTCATCCCCCATGAAAGGATGATTTCCTCGCTGGGATGAGATCTCACCATCACATATTTAATAATCTGATCCTAGATTTATCAGGATCTCGATCGCTTTATGAAACAGTACCCAGTCTTTTTATTGACCGGCATTCTCACAAGGAGAGTGACTGACAAGGGTGAAAACAGCAGGATCCCACCTGTATGGAACTGGAACCTTTGGATCGGAAAGACGCCGTCGGCCGCGTAGTAAGCATCACGTTTCTCTAGCGTATATTTCACTCATTATCCATCATTGGAGATGGACTTCACCGACGACACGCACATCATCTAGATCGATACAGAATAAGAGTGCCGCTCGATGAAAGTCCGTATCGTAGGCGTGAACACCCCAGTGAATGAGAGGGAGGGGGACGCGCAAGAGGCACAATGTCAGGGGATACTGGGCAGAGCGTTAATGAAGCCGCTGACTGGACTCGTGAATATCGGAATATACTATACGCTTAGCCTCTAACTCTCGAGAACGAGATGGAGGTGGTGCTGCTTTACATCGTCGAGAAGGCCGCTGAGTTTAAGGGCTGCTGATTGAGTACGGGAATTCCCGAGAAACAGTTCTCGGAAGACATCCGCAGATTGGGGGCCCGTCTCACACTCGCCCTTTCTCTCCGGCCTTCGCAACAGTCGGATCCGTTCTTGAGAATAGGAGAGATAGTCATTGTACGACTTGTGCACCCTCTCCCCCCCCCCCCCCCATAACTAAAGGATGTTCACACCTCGATGTGAGCTTTCATGCAGGAAATGCTGAGATAGTCCTTGTACGACTTGTGCCCCCCCCCCCCCCCCCCCCCCCATAACTAAAGGATGTTCACACCTCGATGTGAGCTTTCATGCAGGAAATGCACAATACTTCGAGTCCCGTTTTCCTCTGTGCAAAGGAGAGTAACTCCAGGGGGTGAAAGCGGCGGGATCCCATAAGGGTGGGAGAGAACAGCATGGCTAATTCTTGGATCGCAAGGATGCCGCCGGTCGGGTCGTTACTATCCATATCCAAATATTTCACTCATAGGCTTTCACGCAAAGTGATGGAGATGGTCTTTACGGAAGAAGCAGACAGAGTTGCAATCAATAGGGAAAAGTGCCGATAAATGTAAGGGTGAAGATCTCACCCCCGGCCAGGAAGTCATCTTCCCTTCAGAGGGATGAAAGGGGACAACAAGAGTTGTACGTGGGGACACGTAAATAATGGGAAAGAGGGGCTGCTGCATATAACGATGAGAGAGCCACTGTGTTTTAGAGCCGCCGAATGAACTCGGGATTTCTTGCCGAAGAGTACGTGGAAGTATTCCACGGGTCGGCTAGTATGTATAATTGCATTAGTGCATTATAATAATTTGTCAAAATTATGTTCCAGGAAAGACGATTATCAATTTGCTGACCACATACATGTATGGCGTCCGGTGGTCCCTTACGGAAATCTCCTATAGGATACCTATAGGGTCGTATAGGACTTCTGACCTATGGGATTCGGGGAGGATTTTTGGGGTTCGAAACCCAGGCATTACGACGGGAATGGCAATCGGGGTCAATATTGGCGCAGCATTTTGGTGTACATCAATTACCGATTAGGGGTTTTCTCATGGTAGGGGCACTTACATTACTAATAATAGTAGTGCCTAGGTCGGCATAATTTATTGCCCAGTCCCACACACGTCGTTGGATTGCGCAGCCACTTCCTTCGGCAGAGAGAAGTATCATTCTTCTCTCGACCTAAAGAAAAGGCAGACTGTACCTGCGAACACCGTCTCTTTACTGAAACTCTTTTCAGATAATATCTATTTTTATTACTTTTTACTTTGTTAAAATACAGTTAGGAGCTAAAGGTATGGTGGGCCCCGCTGTCATGTGGTGGACCAACACATGACTCTCGCCCACCATGGTTAGATCATCTCAACATGAGGGCTGGCAGAGAGCAAGACCCTGAGAAGGTGACTCATGGTTATGGGGGAGAAGTCAACTCGAGAGAGGGCTGCTTCTCCCCCAGGATCTCTCCCTTGAGGTTTTTTTTTTAAATCTTTTTGGGTTTAATTAAAGAGTAAGGAAATATGCGGCCTTATTGAGAAAGCAACCTGAATTTAGGTTAGTATCAGTGTTTTGGGGTGCTTAGTATTTAGGTCCACCTGAGCCGAAGAATGAAATCTATAGGGTCCTAGCCGTTTTACTTCGTGAGTCAGTAAGGTGTGATTTTATTTAAGTCGATAATTATATTTACATCCTATCGGAAGGGTTAAGGACAGATGCCCCGAATATCATAAGGCGTTTGCGGATCCAGCTGGCCGGAAGGGCCTTCTCAGGAGTCCGCGAGCGAAAGTAAGAGCTGCGAGTTAGTAGGGGTGCGCGAAGGGAAGCTTGAGGGTACATGCCATCTACTTTCCCTCGTATGTGGTTTTCAAAGGGAATTTAAGCATATTTCTGCCCTGAACTCCATGCTTCCATCTGAAAGATGGGGATGACAAATAAGGAAGTGTCGAAGTTTATTTATTCCTACAATGAGGCAAGGCGAGACATTTCGGGATGTACAATACTTTCTTGTGATTGATGATTCATTGGGAAACGGGAGGGCACTTTTGTGCACTTTGAGAAATGCGAGAACCCCATACCTCCATCTAGTGGCCTAGAGGAGAACTTCAATAGGAACCCTATAGGCCCATCGGGTTCCGTATAGGCCCTATATAGAACCCTATAGGTCCTATAGGTTTTAAGGGAGACCTTTAGGCCCTATAGGGTTCCCTATAGGCCCTATAGGAACC